TTTATTTCAAGACCAGTCAAGACCACAACTGTGGAAATATCACTAATCTGACAGAATATTGTCCAGTTTATTTGTTAATATCCTTCCTTTCATTGGATGCAAAACGTACTGGTTCAAATCCAAGCGATAACGTGTCTCGTTGCTAAATATATGTTTTTGTTACCGCTGTCACGCCCACCCCCTTTCACTTGAACGTTACAGACAACAGAACGTAATGTCGCAACCAGGGGTGAAAGTAAGCCAGTACGGTCCGGTACCGTGTACCACTAAAAGATTCTGCGCCAGTACGCAGTACCTGGAAGTGAGGGGAGCGGCTTTCTGCTGTAAAGCCTTATTCAGAACCAGTCACGGCCGCACTTTGGGTCAATAGATCCGCTAGCAATAAGCAGTCTAAAACACAAATTTAATAATAATAATAAACTATAACTAATAATAAACTAATAATATTTTTATAAGACAGATAACCTGTGAAAAGACTGAGCTCCAAGACTTGAGTTCTTGGTCTCAGAAACCAAAAGTCTTGGTCTTGTCTCGGTACACTCTGGTTTTGGTCTTGGGTTAGGTGGTCTTGACTACAACACTACTAAACGCTCTAAAAGATCGCAGAATGTCTTGATTTCAGCTCTCTGCCTCCTCTGCTCTCAGCCACCTGCAAGCGCTCATGGCCACGCCCACTCCTCAGCTCTGCACGCAGAACAGCTGATCAGCTGCAGCAGGAAGTTTATCCTGTAGTAAGGACTGCACAAAGGGGCAGGAGGTGCCAAACATTTTAAAACAATTTATTTTAAATAAAAATCCCATGCCAATCGTGCGGCTCATCCATCAATCAGCCAATTGTGTGCTGTCCAATCTTATTTTGAAAAACCACCATAGAGCGAGTCCGCGATAAACGAACCGCGAAGTAGCGATAGTTTTTCTAGCTTTTAAGGCAATTCCCACCTCTGCCCCGTGATTTCTCTTTGCTTTTCTCTGCAGAGAGAAGCTGCCAGAACACTGAGGGGGTACAGGCCCGACAAGACAACATGGCGAGTGAAGAAAACTTGCAGAGCTGTCACTAAACGAGAATTTGAATATAAATTTTCTGAATTTCTGCTAGAGAAAATAAATTATTGAGGAAGACCTCCCTGAATTTTAATTCAAGTCCACGGCAGGAAATTATTTAGGTCTAAATATGAACGATGATATGGAAGGAGAAAAGGAATGGATGATCGGATCAATAGAAGAAATTAGTGTCTCGTGCGAGCAGAGCTGAATGAAACGAATAGAGGAGAAGCTCAGCAGAAAACATCGTGCATCATTTTGGATTCAGTTTGCTGTCAGTGTTCTGCTCCTGTGGGGAGTAATCTTTTTGTTTTCCTCTAGGCTCCAGCAGAGCCGGCAATGCCGTCACCTCCTCTTCCCGCCTGAATAAAGAGGCCTCTGCCGTGGAAATCACCACTCAGTTTGGCCTTTCTACTCCTAGATCCCTCATCTCCTGGGCCGTAACCCCTGAAAGCACCTACCGTGCGGCCATTACTGCGGCGCCAGGGCTTTAAGCAGGCATAGATGGATCTGGAGCTTGTCCCCAGCCAAAGCCCCATACATCCCTCCTCTGTATTCCACACCATTACTTATCTAGCTGCCCTGCCTCCCCTCTCCTCCTCGCTGCTTCCCCACTACTTTTGTTTTGTTGGCCAATACAGAACGTGGCAGTAAAAAGATATAAATATCTGGAGGCGTGAGCCACATCCAATAAAGGAAACTGATGTGAAAGGCTGTGACAGGCGATCACACTATTTGAGGCGTGTGAAGGCGATTTATTCGCTCAGTTAAGGTTGGTAAGGCCTTAAAGCAGTCCAGTGGGCGCAGAAGACAAATGCACACGGCTCTCGGTAACGCATTGCACTCGAGGAAACTGTTCAGTGTTCGCTGTGTATTTGACCAGTTCTGTTTTACAACTTCCTAAAATATGATCGATATTGTTGCGAAATGAAACGGGTTTGATTTGTTTACCTAAAGGAGCGCAAAGCGGTTTCAAAACGACCTCTGACACAGGTTTAAGTCAATTACCCGTTAAAATCGTTAAATGGACTCCTTGTAAATAAATAAGCTGCTAATTGTGTGAAGACTCAATGAGACAGGCAGCCATGTTGGGCTTTGATGTGCCGTGTGGGGCTTTGTTAGTCGTCGCTCCACCTCTCCACATCACACCTTCTGTCCCATCTGCGCTATCGACCCCCCGCAAAGCAAAAAGCTGCTCGATGCGCTTTCAAAACGCAAAATGTCAAAAATAAAAAGCAACGTCTACCTTTAAAATAATTTTCAAGTCTTCTGAGTGACAGCACGTCACGCAGCGATAATGCTCACCATCTTTTTCCAACGCACACCGTGCTACAGGGAGAGCAGCTGTAGGAAGTTTCATAATAACCTTCATAAGCAGCACTGAATAGAACTTTTTGATTGATTTAATGGTGGATGAGCGGTCCTTAAACTGGTGACCGGGTTACACCGAGCCAACAATTCACCTGACTGAAATCACCGTTTCAAACACGCATATCTGAGGCCACGGTGGCTTTTATCAAATTCAACATGACAGCTTATGTCTTTTCTAGACACCACCAGAATTTGAATTATACATTCTTAGACCTTCAGGGAGAATAAGTGCCAAGATCATTCAGTAACTCACAGAAAGTGAATCAATGATGGATGAACAAACAAAAAAAGAGATCCGTTAGTGCTACACTTTGTTTATTTTGCTCTTTTTTGTGCTAACGTTCTCATCTGGGGCAGGTATTGTAAGATTTCTTACAGCTCTGCCTTGTTTCTTTATAATATTTTGGTGCGCAGGTTGTAAACAGAGCTTGCTCACATTTTGCCAGTCGGTGTAAAGTCTTGGATCAGACATCTTGTGTGAATGTTTATGAAGCATTCTCACCACTGACATCCATTTTTCTTCCGTACGTTTATCTACACCTTTCTCGTTCCACAATTTTTGTGCTATTTTAACAAATCATACCAAAACGTTCAGCTCGTTCAGGTGAAGGGTGCTATGGCTTTTGGTATTGGTGCAACTTTAGCTTGTTGGCATATTTAACATTTTCTGTCACTTTTTTCCTTATAGGAAATGAAATGAGCTCATTTTACATCCTTCAAATCTTTAGATGAGTTTTCAATCTTTTACTGCTCCTTTCACATTTTGTTCTGGTTCAGCTTCTTTTAGCTTCTTGTGCACATTTTTTAAATTTCAGCTAATTTCTGCCATTTTTCTAGCTTTTTTTGTCATCATTTTAGAATGTTTCTGCTAACTGCAACATTTTGTGCTTCTTCTAACTTTCTGCTAATTTCAGCTTGTTATGCTCTTTCAGCTTATTTATGCAAGTTTCAGCCTTTTGTGCTATTTCAGTCATTATTTAGCCGTTTTTATCCAAATTTTAGCTTTTTCGGCTAATTCCACACTTTTTACCATCATCTCAACTTTTTCAACCTAATTCAGCAAAAATGTGTTCTCTATTTCCTTCTGGTAATTTAAGCTTCTTTCTGAATATTTTAGCTACTTTTCAGCTGGGGGGATTCAACTTTTTTCAGACAATTTCTATTTTTTTGTGCTCATTTCTGCTTCTTTCAGCTTAATTGTGCAAATGTGTTCTTTTTGCTTTCTTCTGCCAATTTAAGCTTTTTCTACCTTTTCAGCTATGTTAATATTTTTTTGCTAATTTCAGCCGTTTTCAGATCAATTTAAGTTTTTCGTGGTAATTTCTGCTGCTTTCAGCCTAATTAACATTTCTCTACTAATTTCAGCTTGTTATGCTTCCTTCAAATTATTTCTGCTATTTTCAGCTTTTTATGCTATTTCAACTACTATTTACATGTTTTTGTCAATTTTATCTTTTTCAGCTAATTCCACATTTTTTGGGCTCATTTCAGCTCTTTTTGGTTCCTTCTGGTAGTTTAAGCTTCTTTATGCCTTTTCAGCTACTTTTTTGCTAATTTCAGCTCTTTTTTTTTTTTTAGCATATTTACTAATCTTTGCCATTTTTTTTGCTTTGTTAAACTAAATTCTGCAGATGTGTTCTTTCTGCTTTCTTCTACTATCTTAGGCTTATTCTTCCATTTCAGCTACATTTCAACATGTTTTTAGCTCATTTCAGCTGTTTTTCAGCAAGTTCTTCTGCAACAAGCGTTCACACTGCATTTTTGCAGGAAATGCAATTTGTCTAGTTTATTTTAACGTCTGTCACCATTAGCAGAAAACAGTGGATCTTGCTACAGTAATTGCAGAAGAGGATGAAAAAGCCACACTGAGAAAACATGAAAACTAAAATTAAATACCTGATTTCGCCCAAAATACTGAAATTAGGACTTAAATGCACTGAAATGTTTGGGACAGCACATTTTCACATTTAAAGGGTGTTCAAAGTGGCTCAGAGGCAGGTTTTGTTGTTGGTGTTTACATCAGGTCTGAGCTCAAACCGAGGGAGGGAGAGAAATCATGGCTGTAATGGAACGATATTATGGCCAAATGTGGCCCAGGGGCCACCAATTGATGATTACTGCTTTAGTTACTTTAAAGTCAAAAACCTAAAAATGTGCCGGAATAAAATAAAGCTATTTTATATGTGATTTTATGTCACAAAACATTTTAGAATGCCATGCGGTCCATCCGATTAGTTGAAGCTTTAAAAGTGACTAAAAAATACAGAGAAATTCAAAGTTGCAGACACGATGAATGAGAGGAAATGTGAGCACAGTAATGTTAATTGACCTGACAGACACCTCCAGTGTGTGTCACTGGAGAAAACTGGTGGCATCAGCACTCCATTTTGTCTTTTTATTGTCTGACTGTGTGAAGGACCCCAACATTCCTCTTCATTATTGCCACATGCCCTCACTTACTCTAAATCTTGTTGCTCCCTGTGTGTCCTTTATTTCTCAAGTCATCTGTCATTTACCGCAGCCCCCCCCACATTCTGTTTTTAGATCACGTGCCATCACATCCGTGTACTTGTGCATCGTTCCATTTCAGAGGATATGACTCAGTCCCAGTAGCACTGTCCCCAAAAAGCCTCGTAAATCAGACAAACTTTAAAGATGCGGGCGCTGGAATGGCTGTCGGTCAGTTTACGAGCATTTAAAGTGACAAAAAGCATATAAACGACAACAAATGTTGCGTCAGCAGTATCAGACACGCAGACAAAAAGGCAAATAAACTGTAACAAAGAAGCTGCTGGTGGCTCTATGTAGCTGGATGTATATGCACTTGTTCTGGTCATCAGATCAAACATAGGATTTTCATAAAACACGTTGCAAAATCAACATTTGTCACGTGTATTTCTCCAACACAACTTTAAGACTTAACATCACTTGGAGAAAAAATAACTAGTTATTTAGCTTTTGCATTAAACACCTCTTGGGGCATGGATGCAATGAGCGAGTAGTAATTAGATTTGATTTAATGCAGTAATGTATCTAACACAGCTGTCACGTTAAACAAGTCCGTGCACACAAATTTACCCTGGCAGGATCCACCCCCCGCCCCCCAACCTTTTAAGAGTAATGCAGTTCTCTTGGCGACTCCCTTTAGGTGTCGCTGCAGCAGATCAGCCTCCACCTTTAGCGTCCTCCTCCGTTCTACAGTCCACTGCGTATCCTCCATCCAGTGTAGCCAAAACTTGAGAGAAACGAGCAACATGGTAAGCAAGTCTGGTTCTATACATGCTGTAAATGTTACAACTAAACAAAACCATACATGGCAACCCCTGCAGGCTCACACTGAAAGACAGAGGTGCCACTTAATGCATAAATGTCATGCTAAATATTTAGAGAACCCTGGTCATTCACCCATCAGTCCTGGGCATTAGTTTAGTTTGGTGGCGTTACCTGAGTTTATGAGGGAGGGGGAGAGGAGGAACAATCGTATATTTTTCCCCATGGTGACCCAAAAAACTAACCAACCTAACCAGCAAAGGCTATGAATACTAGCCAATCAGCGGCAGAGTGGGATGGGACTTATGCATGCCTTTGTTTACTTGTTGTTTTTGACTGTTACTGCAACTCCCTGAACCAAATGAGCATTTTTGTTTAGTGGATCAACTCATAACTCACAGGAGTAAACCTAAACAAAAATTGTCATACAGTGTTACATTTTCTAAAGTGGCATGGTCTCCAAATGGTCTTAACTTATAACCTTCCCTTTCACTCTTGGAGCTATCCTTTTGTAGCGTACCTCAACCTCACTAGGCTCTCTTCCACCTGCTCCCTACTCTCACTAAAGAGTGTGGTGTCATCTACTAATACAGTAGTCCCACGCTAATTCACGGTTCGTTTATTGCGGACTCGCTCTATCGCGGTTTTTCAAAATAAGATTGGACATGACACACAATTGGCTGATTGATGGATGAGCCGCATGATCGGTATGGCATTTTTATTTTAAATAAATTTTAAATTATTTAGCACCAGCTGCACATTTGTGCAGCCCAGAGCCGCAGAAAAAGCTTCCTCCTGCAGCTGATCAGCTGTTCAGCTTGCAGAGCGGAGAAGTTGGAGTGGCCAAGAGCGCTTGTAGGTGACAAAGATCAGAGGAGGCAGGGAGCTGAACTCATCACATTCTGTGCTT